TGTGTCTATTGTGATGATACTATTCTGACATCAGTGTTACTTCTGTATACACGATACGTCGGAGTCTCGGAAGTTAACGTTCTATCGTTATTTCCTATTCTCGCCGGACGAACCATTCTCCATCAAATTATCGACGGGAGAGACAGAACAATATCATAATTGTATGCCATTTGCTCATCAATTAATGAGAATTTATGCATACCAATATGTGCACATGCACGTACAATGTATAAATTGAAGAGTTGACAACACCCCAAGTTACAATATGTGTGTGTGTGTATGTATGTATGTATGTAACCGGCGGAAAATTTATTTTATTCACATAGAACTCTTCTTCGACGACTTCATTTACCTCCTCAAAGTTGCATGAGAAACCAATTTTTCACATACAAAGTAAAGTTAGATCGATGACTTGGCGATACATCGAAGATTATGCAACTCTGTGTGGTCTTCTGATTACGAACTATTATCGCATGCAAAGGGACGAGCACATAATGTTAGGAAAGAATTTCGCGTGAAACCTCATCTATTCTTAAATCCAAGGTCTCACGAATTCTATTCTTAACGCGAATTTCCATTTTCGACAATGATATGAAATTCCCATTTACCATATTTAACAGTGGTACCATTGTGAACACAGACGCTACTATTTGGGCACAATTATTGTGTAATTTACCCTCGTGATATGCTTATGCATGTGGGAGTTAATAATAAGGCGTTCTGAGATTTTTTGGTTGTCTATAATTCTTGAAAAATGAGGAATACCTTCTTTTTTTCCTAATCCGCAAACGTACTTTTCCTCCCGCCCACTTTTTTTAACTTGCGTTCACCTCATGTACTGCCCATTCATCATTCATCCCTCAAAATATTGCCTTATGCGTATCCAAGAATTGAACCTTAATGAGGCAACGTGCTTCAACTCTAGGGAATGCGGAATTGCACGGAACCGTGGCAACAAACGATGCGCTTGTCTGTTGATCACGTGAGAGAGATATGTATATGTTATCACACCACCCATCCAGGTTTTTTATTTTTGTTACTCTCCACCACAACACCGGTCATCAACGTGTGGTGATATTTGTTGGTCAATCTTACCAGGAACAGTTGTTACATCCTTGCTTTGGTGATCGTTTATGGTGGGGCACTTTTTTTTCAGTTGAGTTGATGATTATCAAATGTTTATTTTTTTTCAATAATATTTATGTGATCTTAAACAAATAGTAATTAATTGATGTGGGAATTTTTGTTATATCATCAACAAGGAAGACGTGATAAGTTGAACGTGGGTTGGGAAGTGATGAAAAAAAGATTGCGAAATTCGATCAGTCAGTCAAAGTCTAGAGTAGAGGGGAATTTTCATGACATCGTCAAAAAGTTGAACCTTCCATTGTCTTCGGAATGTCAAGTTCCTGTTTGATTATTAAATCATGGTTGATGGATGGTCTAGCTTAATCTCATTTCATTCCTGAAATTTCTGGCGACAATAATAAAATGGATGACCAATCATTCAGATCTAGGTCGAAATTGGACCGCCCTAAATTGTTACTCCTGAGACGAAATTCATTAAAGTATAATCGGGATCCAAAAAGTGTCACAATGATGTCATCGCAATATAGATGGATGATGTAAAATCATATCTTTCGATTGAAATTACAATACTTTCCCTGATAGGATTTTCGTCGATCGTCCACTTTTTTTTCTTTTGATATCGATATTACGAAATCACGACAATCCTTTAATGATGTTCAGTCAAAAAAAATCGTACATATCCATGGTAGAAAGTTTTTCCCATAAAAGTCTTGGTCTTTCACGCCATTGAAAAATACCCTATACAGTAATGCGAAGACTTATGTAATACATGCATCCTTAAAAAATACTGATAGGTCTTATTTTTGAGTAGCGTGCGTTGTCGGGTTGGGAAGTTGAAACCACCAAAGTCATATAAAGATATAATACGATGCGATAAACCATACGCTTTTTTCATGCTAAATCGAGTGCGAAAGACGTAATGGATTTTCAATTTTAATTTAATTATTTTTTTTAACAAAAATATTTACATATAGTAAGTAGATTTTTATTTATTTATTTATTTATTTATTTATTATATATTATATTTATTTACTATATACCGTATACAGTATATCCCAAGTTTAAAAGAATTTCTTAAATCAATATTCTTGGTTTTTTTTGCGTTGTCGCACAAGGGGAACGATGCGATGATGTAGGTAATTTTTAGCGCAACTAAAACATAAATAGCAAATTAAATCGGGACGACATTATATTAAAAGAAAGTGTGCTAATTTCAATTTAATCATGATAATAATAATGGTAGGAATGGTAATAATTAATAAAATATCGTTATTATAATGGTTATTAATAAAATTATCAATAAGTTGTCTGTCGATGATGCGTTATGACTGCTGTATCTTGTCTGCGCATTAAATTATTTGTACACCGCGTTATTATTCGAGTGTCCGATTTGGTTTCCATATCATCATCTCGCACAATCTGATGATAATTAAATATGAACTTGCGGATGATTAATAAATATCAAGTACATGTCGATGAAATTTGTGATTATTGTTTTTTTCCATTTTCATAAGAAATGATGAGATTATTGAAAGAGATACAGCATGTATCTATATAATTTTTTTTATTACATTCGCGCCTTTCCCATTTCAAACTCAAACTCAATAAATCGAGACACCTCGTGTTTACGCCGAAGAACCATTGCGTTGCTAATAACTGTTTTCAAATCGACATGCTAAAAAAAAAAATTTTCTTTTGTGTGTGATAAATGAAATGCTACTATTGTATATCTGAATATGCTGTATAGGATTGGATTGGATTGGATGGTACAGTAATAATCAAGGTAGTCTCATAGTATTTAAAGTTGAAAACAAATATATATATATTTATTAATTTATTTATAGATTTATTTATAATAATTATAATTTATAATAAAAAAAAAAATATATATTATTACCATATAGACTGTTTATACAGTGCATTATGAATATTATGAATCTATTTTTTTTTTTTTTATAAAAAAAATATAGAAATATGTTGTAATCAATGTAACGTCTTGATCACATGACTCACCTCCGTCCGATGTAAGACCACCCTCATTTGTGTGGGTGACGTACAGTACGTAATTGCGGGATGTTTGATCGTCGGTCTTTTTATGATTTTTTGTTTTTGCAGTATGTTGAATGTTGAATGACTGTTTCATTTACCCCAGGATTCCAGAATTCCTTTTTTTAACGGTTTTCCTTATGAAGCTATTCTGTGGTAACAGTTTAAGCCGAATAAGTCGTTCGCCAATGAAATGAAATTACTAAGCACACCTTTCATTCCTGGTCTTGACCTAGAGGTTCACCTAATTATTGTGACACATTAACTGCATCAGGAACTTCTTCATCGTTTTAAGGTGGAGAGCATTAGGCGTTTGTGATTCGTACTCTTTCGAAACTCTTCTTTACTTAACATGAGTATAATCATGAAGGCGAGCTCCTTGTATCACTGAAATCTGAAATCGGTTGTGCATTTTTTTTTTTGCTTTTTTTGCAGTTTATCATCACCTTTGATGACCGTCAACTTGTGAAGGTATCTGTCGCTTTGCTTAATTATGATCTTTACTTTATAAAGTATCATTGATGCGTGATTATATTGTGCATTTTTCTCCCACGCTAGGCTTATTTTCATTAAGCAGAGAGGAAGCTTAAACAAAGGGTAATTTAAAAAAGGTTATATGTTACATAAACCAAACGGGGAAACCATTTTTTTAAAAAAAATCATAATCATCGCGATGCATTTGTAGACCAATGTACAGTAATTCCCAAGGTTTGTCTGTCCACCGTGCAAGCTCTCCGCAAATTCCCAAGTATAGAATATCGATAAGGTGATAAGGCCTAACCTGGATGATAGGAGCCGATTTAGACATCTTCGGTGGAATGAGATTTCCGAGAAAAAAACTTGAGCATTTGTCATCTGAACATTTTTGACAATCAATCAAGGGGACTTGAAAAAGTAACACCGACCTTTCCGATATTTTCGCGGCGGAAAGTCACGTGGAATTGCGATGGTCGAAAGTTTGCCAGTGCGCATACATACATACAATTCACGTTTTCTCTTCATTTATGCGTAAGCACAGAACACATGAAAATTGAAGAGAACATAGCATTCAGAGAAAACTTCGCTATACTTTATCGCGCGATGAAAATTATGCACGAAACGACACCAATAGTAAGTAATCATTGCACTCCGAAAGAAAAGTGTTTGCACGCAGTACAACTGTAACAAGAGGTATTCCGTTTCTTGTTTCTTCTACGAACATCAATGATCCTCTAATGGATACAAATTCGTGAAGATCTGGTGATACGTGCCCTATTGAAGGTTTCAATGTTTACAAACAAGCAATCGTGACTACCAACAACTACCAACAAGAAATGTTCTCATAAATCACTGCATCATATCTATTGTTTGCTTGGGCCACAATTTTGTTTTTCTTTGTAACCCATTGGCGTTTGTTTTCAATCTTTCTTTAGACCACTTCAATCCAAATTGGAATCTCTTAATTATCAACAAATGAATTTACTAGATACGGTGATTGATGAATAGAATGGAAGATGGATAGATCGTGAAGAAAGCATGCAATAAATGAAAATGTAATTTTATTCTGAAACGAGAAAACGCACATCATTTCAGATGGCATACGCACACCGTATGCGATATTGCTTTAATTGCGCCAGTCAAGATAGTTCCGGTAGATACACGTCGTAGAATCCATTGAATCGTTGGTTCAATTACTTTTTTTTTTTTTTTCATTTTTTTATTCCGCCATAATTCCGTGCATATTTACTAATTTGTGATACAAGGGGGAGGTAACACAGCCAGGATACTTATAGAAAAAAACTTTGGCGCAGGAGTCACTGAATACGGATTGGGATCGTATGATAGTTTGGTGATACTGTATCTTAAAACTTATCACAAGTCAACGATCACTTGGATATAGCAGGCGTCACTTCCCAAATGCTAATATTTTCATTAAGCTGCGACAAATGATACATGATACAATAGCGATGGCTGATTGATAATAACGACGACAAAATTGGACTCATGTACATCAATGGGAAAACAAGTTTGAGCCCGATGACTCCACAGGGGGTAAAAAGCGTAAAAGTAACAGCGGTGTAGATCTGTGGATTCAACGATTACACTTTTGTTGACCGAAAGACCATTTGCACAAAGGGGTTGATAAACTTGCGAATGCTGAATTTTAAAATTTATTAATAATAATGCAAGATCTGCATTGAAGCAAGAAACATGATCTCAGTTGAATGTTTTAAGTTAATGCAGAAATTAAAAATGCGTGATTCTCAACAAAGGGCAAAGGCACGCTTATGTAAGTATTGACAAGAAACGAGAAATGCGACGTGAATTATACTTGATTTCCATCTCATGAACTTTCGCGTTTACTCAATCACACTTGCTACTACCGCAATACCTCCCGTTTCCAACCGTCT